TATATATATTGTGTGTGTGTGTGTGTGTGAAGGCAAAAATAATCCACAATACTTTAGCTAAATAGCGAGATTAGCTAAATTCTGTATTGAGACCTACACCCGATGGGGCATTGAGACTCTCTTTAATGACCGCAATTGTGAGCAGATGCATAAACCAATTCAAAATATATCTCAAAACATTCCCCAATTCTCCCACCATATGCAGAAGCGCCGAAAAATACGTATCTATAAAGTCGGGCTCATGACATGTATTTCTTTATTTCAATCATTCTGAGGTGCGCTTACCCGACGAGCAGCCTCCCAGAGTCGTCTCATAACTCTCTGCACATTCTCGAGTCCGCTCACAACCTCATCTTCACCCTGCTCATCTCCTGGTGCAATACGTCCTGTTTCGGTGGAAGCACCTTCTGAGCTATTGGAGGTGCCCCCCACCGTAGGTATGACACTGGAGTGTGGCGTTTGGTCGTGTTGTGTACAGCAGTAAGGTGTACCGTCTTTTCTGACCCGCACCAGGCGCGCACAGTCCCACAGCAATCCTATGTGAATACACACATCAGAGATATCAGTATTATAATATGTAGTGTGATGCATATGCAGAAATGGGTCCTACATGGCATCGCGGATACGTTTTAATGAATAGCGTACAGGCTAGAGGTCAGGGGTTGACAAGTGTGTACATAGGATATGCAGCCGAATCACAAGAGATACGAGGCACGCGCAAGTTAGGCAACTCTATAGAGATACGAGACCTTTAAGTTAGGCACATATACATTGGCATTGGCATAAACCAGATGTGTATACATTCACAATCGACAATTAAAAAATGATCCGATAGCGCCGGCAAAAAAAAGTGTAGAACAATACTGTAGTTTCTCACGATATGAGTGGATTCCAGAAAATCTTTCACAGACATCAACCACTTACGGTAGAGAACCCGTGGGATACACTATCATACATGCGGACCTAAATGCTGTGTGGACATACTCTGAGTGCCTGTGTGGTGTGCAGGTAGTTGTGATAGCAGCACCGCACATGTGCGTATTTAATATGTATATAAGTGCACGCGAACAAATCAACCACCACACAGACATGGAGTGGTTTGTACGACCTGAATTGGTCTATCTTCCTCGAAAAGCGAAAGAGTGATTCATATGGGCCCTACCTCGCCAAACATCTGAGTACTCAAGTAGCAAGATGGCTTGGTATCTCTGAGTATTCCTATTGTGGTCTTCCATAAGGGGCCCTCTAACGCGACATATATATGCACACCGTATGTGTAAACACTGGAAATCATTATAAAGCACGACAGGCACACTTGTATGGCATGTCACAGATAGTGTGGGAACGGTCTATGGGGAAGCAACACGTGGTGAGTAACTCACATTTACATTGTCACACACCACCAGCAGAACGACCAATGTCACAGACACATCTGGTCTGCAGGTGATGGTTTACCACGTGTAGTAGTAAACACCGATCACTTCCGCTGCTATGATGACGTACACGCACGTAATTCTTGATCCGTATCGAGGTATGATCTCATTTTGTGTTCAAAACCGTAGAAAAATAAGGAGCCATGTTGTGCTCGCCTTCCTAAACGCAGAATAAATCAGGGAAGACTTCGTTCTAGTTAATATATAGCCGGTCTTCGCTCTAGTCAAGATATACGCATGGTACGTACCACGTACGTACCATGCGTATATGTGCAGTGACAGTACGCAACCATAGCCCTCGCTGACTAGCTTGGGAACACAAGTAACACAGACAACTGTATGCTCCTCCTTGCTGAACATGGCCCCGAGAAGAATACTCTTGCCTGCTATAGAACAGTGTACGTACAACAGATGGACTATCATACCCGACTTCCAGTGCGGCGAGTGGTTTATTAACCGCATAGAAACAGCTGCAGCCTCATCTACCCACAGCACCGGCAGTTCAATGTTTATCCACGTGCCTCTGGGGTGTCTTTCGAGCGCTCTAATGTGAAATAAAAGTGATCAAATTGTCAACAGATACAGAAAATTATATGTGCATACATCAATATAAAGTTATTAGGTGTGTTAGAATTCATGAGCCTCCCAGTCAGAAGATGATGTCGGAAAATATGTGGAGAGCTTATCATCGCAGAAAAAAATGTCGTGAAACATTTCTATATGCATATGTATATGTATATGTACATGGATATATATATATATATATATATTTATTATAATATATCTAGTATA